CGGGGTGACGTGGCTGGTATATGCTGGATGCAAACTTATGTCATGTAGACTATGGCACTCTGACAAGGTGGCACACCAGGCTGGGCTCCAGGGGTGTGGTGTCCTTCCAGAGGCTCAGCCTCTTCAGTAACAGTAGCATGGAGAATTGTGGCAGTTCTGAAATGTAGGACAGCTGGTGACAACACTCCGAGAGTGTTTGCGCTGGAAGGGGCAGATGAGGGAGCTGCACAGAAACAAGGTGTGTGTGCCTCAGAGGTCTCCCTTTGTAGGCTCTTCACTCTGTCTTCTCCTGACCCAGGAGAGGACCATAGCTGGGCCTCTGTGCCTTCATGGTTCACTGAGGACTTTGAGACATTCCTTGTCTGCATGTCCCAGGAACACAGATGAGTGGTGTATACACATTTCAGTGCTGTTGGCCACCAGGACTAACAGTCCAAGTAATTTTGAGAGCCAGGTGCCGTGGCTGTTCCTGTGAGGCAGAAAGGAGAAGATGATGACTTCAGACTGCCGGTCCTTCCTCTTAAGTCACATGCCCAAGGTGGCTTCATTGGTTAAAATTTGAAGAGAAAAAATTTGAGAGCATTTAAGGAATAATGTTCACAGCTGTTTCCAGCACAGGTGCCTGCTCTCTTGCTGGACCTGCCTTTTGTTATCTGCCCGCCAATCTGTCTGTCAAACCTGTGGTTTCCTCGACTCAAACCTAGCAGTGGTCCCCCATGCTTTGTTCACCTAATCTTCAAAGCTGAGCTCCTACTTACAATGGTTCCACCTTGGCCATACCCGTTAGCAAGGAGTGAGGTGTGGGGACTCCCTTAATGAGCTACTCCCCTGCTTTGGCTGGCGCCAAGCTAGCCACACCTGTTTGCTATCAAGGCTGTCTGGGCTAAGCCAGAGCAGCTCAGTTGCAGGTGGTAGGCCTGAATGAGGGCTGGGGCAGGGGAAGGTGGGGCTCCTTTGGCTTTGTTGTCTGTCTGTGGGGAGAGACATTTTCTTACAGCCCCATCCTCCCATATTGTTCTCTTCTTTCCAAGCAGAGGCTCTCATTTTGTTACTTAAAAGGATCAGCAAGAAACTTAAGAAGTATCTCATCTTCTCTAACTTCCCCCAGTCAGAAGCAAGGAGCCTGGCAAACATCTGATGATAGGTTTGGGGTTCTGTTCTGATGACTTGAAGGGCCAATGTGATAAGAGCAAGACTATGGTAAATGCCAAGGTAGGGGCCCTTTCTGGCTATAGGCCCTAGGCATTTGAAGAGTGATCATGTACCTTGCCTTAGAGCCACAGGCAGGACTGGTGTGCACGTGTGGGGTTGGGGGTGTCCTTAAAAGAGGCCCCTTGTATTCATGAAACTGAAGGAAGTTTTGATTGGTGGGGGAAAAAAAATCCCATTCCTTTTTATGGCCTGGACATAATTGGTTATTTTCTATTGGCCATCAGTGATGTCATTCCGACCCCTCATAAAGAAGGGGAAATCACACCTGTGGACTCGGTGCATAAAATTTCATTGGGCAACAGTAATAAGCATGACCAGATGATGTTTGGGCAGTTGGGGAGCTTTGTGCCCAGTGAATCCAGCTGCATGGAGACCTGGGCACCATAAACTTGCCTGCACATTTATGCCCGCAGGCTAGATCAGGGCCCACTGCCAGTGGCTCTTTTCCTTGGTATCAATATAGCAATTGGACCCTTTGTGCCAGGAACCTTTGCCCCTTTCTTTGCCAAATTAGTGGAACCATGTGTCTACTGTACCCACTGACCTTAGTTTTAGACTCCCAAGAAAACTGAGTAAAGACGTGACCTTGAGCACTAACCTCCATCCTACCCACCTCTACCAGCATCCAAGCTTTGCCTTCTCAGGGATGGGTCAAGGTCTCTAGTTGAATGTGTGCAGTTGGCACCTGGGCATCCAGAAGCCTCAGAGGCTATTTCTTCTCTTCTTGGCTTGTTGCATGATTAAGTAAATTCTTTTTCTTTATGGAGTCTGTTTCCTCGTTTGAGTAGAGGATGGTGACCACTCTAACCCACCTTGTGCTCTCTCTTCTGAGGTAGGATTTTGTGATAGCTATCTTCCCAGGAGACACCTGGGAGTTCACGTGCTAGCTCTTGGCTCTGTCTCTCATGAAGATGAGTTTGGGTCCTGCTGTATTTGTGCTGCGAATGCTTGCAGTCGCAGGGCTGAAACATTCAGAGGAGCACTCAGCAACCCTCCCTCTCTCCTTGAATCTGCAGATTTCATGCATGGAGCTCCTAAGCAAGATTGCTATCTCCCCCTCCTTCAGTCAGATACAAAATACAGAGAGGCATTCAGGATTGCTGCTGGGCCATGTTCAGATATGAATGACTGTTGAGGCATCTTTCTTTCTGGTCTGTTCTCACTGTGGCTCATGTGGTATAGATAATCCTTTGAGAGGAGCAAGCAGGATCCCACTGAGCTAGACCCTTCCTAACTGAGGATATTTATACTGTCATGTACTATTGAAATCCCATAGAAAAGGGAATCACTTTTTCTCCAGAGCTAGCTAGAACCAACAGGACTCTTTACCTATGTCAACTAAAGTCATCAGGAGGTGGCTGAGGAAAATAAGACAGAGGATGCCTGCCCTTTTCTAACTAGGCCTCCTGTGTTCCTCTTGCTGCTGGTGGTCTCTTCATATCCAGACCTCAGTGTGTTTTTTCTGAAATACTGAGACGGAAAGGTTAAGAATGTTCAAAGAAAAAGAAGGAGATAATACGGTTTAAACAGTTCAGTTACAGTTTGTTTCTCAAGTGACTCCATTCTAGCTGCTCAGGCCACCTCTTACCCTTAGAAGCTTTGTTTGGCCTCATGTTTTTGGTCCTTGGCCCTATGTGGCCATACTGTCTCTGGACACTCCTTCATTCTCTTGGCATCAGCCAGAAATTCTCTTTCAGAAAGCTGGCTAGTTCTAGGTAATGTTGCTGTGCCACCTGTTTGAAAGGAACTTGCCACTCAAAAGACACCATAGGTGGGTGTGATGTCACACACCTTTAATCCCAGAACTCAGGGTGCAGAGGCAGGTGGATCTCTGTAAATTTGAGGCCAGCCTGGTTTACAGAGTGAGATCCAGGACAGTCAAGGCTGTGTAGAGAGACCGTGTCTCAAAAGAAAAGAAAAGACATTATGCATCTGGTAAAAGTTTACTTCTGAAACCTGGAAGTGAACTTCCTGTTAGTTTCTGTCAAGTATTTAATGGGTGATGAAGGGAAGGCTGGCCTTCAGCTTCCTGAGGTGAACTTGTCATTTTAACTGGATTCTCGTGGCCAAAGTTCCTAAGAAAAGGGGTCTGTACTTTTGTTCTCCATTCCCTGTCTCAGTAGCTCTTCCCTGTGCCACTCCTTACCTGGCCTATTGACATTAGCACTCCTCTCACCAAGATTACGTGGGACTTCATATATGAAGTCCATTGGGTTTTATCACTTCTCATCTTGTTTGGCCACTCTGTGACATTTGACACTAATAACTTGATTTTAAGCTTAAAAATCAGCTCTGTGTATTACAGAAACTTCCAGATCTTAGGTTGACCACAAGTAATAGGAAGAGGGATCAGAAGGGCACATGTGACCCAGGTGCCTGAGATAATGAAAAGGGGTGGTGAGTTGAGAGAATCTTGACTTGTGAAGGGTTGTCTTTGGGAACCATGCAGAGATACAAGGGCCTGTGGCCTGGAGAAGGATAGTGACTGGGAAACTTGCTGAGCTTTTGGACCTCAGCAAGGTTTTGCAAGGAAGAGGTGGAAGCCTTGTTCTCTGTAAATTCTGTTCTTTGTTTGTTGTTTGAGACAGGGTCTCTACATTACATAGCCATGACTATCCTTGGTTTCACTCCAAAGACCAGGCTAGCCTTGAACTTGGAGATCCACCTGCCTCTCTGCTCCTCAAGTACTTGGATTAATGGCATAGGCTACCATGTCCAACCTAATGGTTTTGTTTTGTTTTTTGGTTTTGTTTGTTTTGTTTTGTAATTTCTGAAGTCACACTTTTCCTTCTTGGGCTCCGTTTTTCTCAATTTTCTGTTACTGACACATACCTGAGATACCAGTTTTTAAAAAGGAAGGCTCTTTACTTGCTGCCCTTCTGGAGGGCTAGCAGTGTGGTTGAGTTGGTAGAGTGCTTACCTTGCATGCCTGACACTCTGGGTTTGGCCCCCAGCACTACCTAAAACTAAGTGTAATGGCACAGGTTTCTAATTCCAATATTTGGGAGGTGGTGTCAGGAGGGACTACGTAGGACCCTGTCTCAAAAACAAAACAAAGCAAACCTCACAGGACCTGTATGTGGCCTATGCCTTTAATCCCAGCTCTGAGCAGAAACAGGTAGACCTCTGAATTTGAAGTTGGTATGATCTACATAGTGAGTTCCAGGCCAGCCAGGGCTATATAGTGAGATCCTATCTCAAACAAACAAACAAACAAACAAGGCTAGAGAGATATCTCAGTAGTTAAGAGCACTTGTTGCTGTTGCAGAGGACCCAGATTCAATTCCTAGCATCTGCATGGTAACTCACAATCACTGTGACTCCAGTTCCAGGAGATCCAATGCCCTCTTCTGACCTCTGAGAACACCAGACACACAGACGATGTACAGACATATATGGAAGCAAAACACTCATACATACAAAATAAAAAATTAATCTGAAACACCCCTGGGGCATCAGGGAAGCCACAATAGCCAGCAGTACCTGCCTCTCAGGATTAGTTTGAGGGAAAATATAAGTAAGGACCTTAACATGTTAAAAATAGAGTTTATAAATTAGGAAATAGTAGTACCTGATGTTATTCTATGTGATACCTCTTGAAATTCATACTTGGTTCTGAGGAATGGTTCTAAGTCCCATATCCATGGCACTGGAGGTGGGTGGGGACCCCTGCTGATTTATTGACAGGTGTTATATCTCTGTTCTGTATATTTTTTTTCTTTGTAGTTTAAGACTCCACACTTGGGACATGTGTGTTTCCAACTTGTTCTCTCTTCTCTTTCTTGTAGGCTTCCAGGCCAGTGCCATTATTTAGGCTTGCCAGTGGCGGATTACTTCAAGCAGTGGATTAATCTGAAAAAGGTACCGGCTGAGCTCCACCCACAGCCTTGGTTCTCCTTTACTTCAGACACCTCCCTCCACTCTAGTCTTTCTCTTTGTTTCTTTTCTCAGTATCCCTCTTTCTCTTCCATGGGTAATGTGCACTAAAATGTTGATATTTCTGGGAATGGGGAGCTGCTTGAGGGTCAGGCTACTGGGTGGAGTCCTATTGGTGTCTTCCAAACATATATAGAAGTCCCAGGTAAAGGGATTTTTTTTTTCCTGAATTTCTGGGCTGAACTGTTTTATCATTAGGAAAAACATGGTCCTAGTTGAGCCTTTGAGAAGAAAATTACATATATACATATATATATACATACATACATACATACATACATACATACATACATACATACATACACATACATGTTCATGAGTGTGGTCTCTGTACCTGTAGTTAGGAAGAGGAGTTTGCCTAAGATGGCTTTAGTCTTCCCCTGGCCCTAGCAGAGCCTTGTTCATGTAGGGGAGGTCAGTGGAAGCTAGAACCCTTGGAGCATGGAGGAGGATCTTGGCACTGATACCACATTATAGGACTAGTGTTAGCCCAGGATTATGTGCCTCAAAAGGACCCTGCATAGCTAGGGTAGTTCCCCGTCAGAGAATGAGTCATTCAGAAAACCAGCCTTCCCTGGCACATTTTTAGGTAAGCAGAAAAAATAATGTAGGAATGGCTTCTTGGTTCCTTGCTGAATAGGAATTATTGCTCCAGGAAGCCCGGACCACTGGGAGAATGAAGCTCATGTGTCATTCCAATAGAGAAAAATAGCTCTGGAGTAGTCTCAGATCTACTTGATGCTTAGTGACTCCTAGATGTCTAGAAGAAGGGAAACCACACCAGGGCCAGGATGGAGGCTCCCTATGGGCTTAGCAAAGAGAGGCTAGGGAGGGGGTCACACTGTGAAGATTGGTTCTCACCGTGAGTAATCATGGAAGGGGGTATATGCAGGGAGGAGACTGCCTTCGAGGCAAAAAAAAGAGCAGCCTGCTTTTGGTGTGTGTGGCTGAAGCTGAACATGGAAGAATGGTGCAGGAACTAGTTCTCTAAGTATGTGCTTCACACTGAGATGACTATGGACTTGTTTCCATTCTTTGTCTTGCTTTCCCCTGGTGTGTGCATCCTTCTCATTCTGACACTACTTCTTATCTTTGACTGAGGAAGTTAGGCGAGGCAGGCACTGACCATGAACAATTACTCTGTGAAGTTCACTAGACTTTTTGGTGTGTGATAGCTCTCTGCTTTTAGGTTCCTAGGTAGAAGGGCAGGAGAGCAGCAGACCCATATGGTAACACTAGGGTCACCTTGGTGCTTCAGGCCATCTTGAGCCTCTCCAATCTGTTCTCTACTGTTCTGTCAAGATATGGAAGGAAAGAGTGGGTATAAAGGGAAACTGAGGGCTCTATTCCAAGTTGTCTTTGTGTTTTCTTCTTGTGAGGTAGTTCAAGCAGGCCTGGGGAAGCAAGGGGGCTATTTTAGGCTCTATCTTTGAGCCTGTGCTGCTGCCATCATATGTGAAAATGCTCCCTTGTTATCATCTGGCATATTCCCTCTCCTTGAAGATGGTTTGGACAGCACTTCTGCTGAGCTTCCCTTGTTGTGACACTCCCTGGACTTGGGATATCAGTTAACTCAGTTAGAAATAAGTCTGTGCTGTTAATTCCAGGTGTGTCCATTGGGAGCGCAGAGACAGAGCCTGCTTCTCGCCACTGTCGTCAGTGGCTGGACTGGGGTCAGCTAGACTCAGAGTGTGTATACTTGCTGGCCACCGCCTCATTGAGAACTAGCTTCCTAGAGACCCTCCTGGGTGGAGCTAGGCATGCCTGTGTAGATAGACATGCTGTCCACAAAACAGTGTGCCAGCTGTCAGAGTTTATCTGAGGCTGCCTGCCAGCCTCAACAAATGCAATGTGAAGGCCCGGCCAGGCGAGGCAGGCACTGACCATGAACAATTACTCTGTGAAGTTCACTAGACTTTTTGGTATGTGATAGCTCTCTGCCTTTAGGTTCCTAGGCAGAAGGGCAGGAGAGCAGCTGACCCATATGGTAACACTAGGGTCACCTTGGTGCTTCAGGCCATCTTGAGCCTCTCCAATCTGTTCTCTACTGTTCTGTCAAGATATGGAAGGAAAGAGTGGGTATAAAGGGAAACTGAGGGCTCCATTCCCAGTTGTCTTTCTGTTTTCTTCTTGTGAGGTAGTTCAAGCAGGCCTGGGGAAACAAGGGGGCTTAACCCTTCCTCTCCCTAACTACATTGTGTTCCAGGTGTGTGACTGTGTGAGTGACTGGGTATGAACGCAGCATCCTCATTTCCTAAGGCCTTTAATCAGAGAAGACATGAAATACTGTCTTTTTCAGTTCTCCCCTCTCCTCCTCAGAAACTGGGCTGCCTCAGAAAAGAGTAACTCTTGAACAGCCACGTTTTGACATCTCCTACCTCCGTCTACTTTCCCTGTAGCAGAATGGCAAAAGCCACTGTTGGCCGGCATGTAGGATGTTGTTGAATGATCTTAGATTTTTATTGAGCTTTCAGTTTAGAGAAGACTTGAAGCCCTGCTCCTAGGTCTTTCCAGGAGGGTAGAGATATTGCTGAGGAGTAAGGGAGTACATATTCACGTATATGTGTGTTCACAAACATAGTCACCTCCAGAAATACTTGAAAATGTGCATAGACGTAAATGTGTTTATATACATATATCCATAAAGCACAAAGACATAATATACACGTCTCATCCATAAGCACACATTCTGGAGTACCTTCTTTGTTCCAGGTATTGTGTTAGGTTCTGGGAATATAACAGAAAAGGTGACTGTTATAGATCATTTCATTTCTATTCAGTAACATGTTCTGAGCGGTTCAGAGTTGTGGATCATATAATAAAGAACTGGATTTATTGAGGTAGAGTCTGAGGAAGGATATTTAAATTATAGTCTGAAGGAGGAATTGGCCAAGCTTAGGAAGCAGCGTATGGTGAGGCCCTGAGGTAAGGAGAAGCCTGGCATCTTTATAAAAGCCACGAAGACAGAGTTTTTGCCTCTGTTGATTGTTCTCTCCCTATCATTTTGGAGGGTTCGCAGGACAGAGAAACTCAGTTGTCATGCACTGAATGAACGACTGCCAAGGCATGGGGAACAATGAGAAGAGAACGGTAACATGACATAAAGCTAAAAGGCCTGGCTGGAGCTTGTAGGCCATGTCTTGATTGTAGTCCTTATCTTTAGGATGAAGAAGAGCTACTAAAAGGATATTAAAAGAAAAATTTATCTCATTTCGTTTTTTGTTTTGTTTTGCTTTGTTTTGTTTTGAGGCATAGTCTCATGCTGTAGCCTAGCTGGCTTTGAACTTTTGACATTCTTCCTGTCTTAGTGTCAGTAGTGTTGGATTATGCACATGAGCCACCATGTCCATCTCGTTTGAATTAAAAAAAAAAATTCTGTGGTCTCTTATTAAAAAACAACAACAACAACAAAAAAAAAAAAAAAAAAAAAAAACAAAAAAAAAAAAACCAACTGCAAGAGACCAGGCACTGGCTTTTCTAACTGGCTTTGCAGTTGGTGTTTGTAGGTGGGACAGATCATTGTTTGGTCACATTGCTGAACGTTGCATGTCAGGCCTTTGTTTATCGAATACTAGTTTTGGCCCTTTTCTAATGATTATTCTGTTGACACAGTCAGATCTTTAGTAGCTCATGGAGGGTAAGAATGAGAAAGCACCATCACCAGTTGAATAAGACTGTTTCTGTGGTCCAGGTGGCACATGGTAGTTACTTGGTTTAGACGGCTAGTTGTGGAAATAGAGAACTGGGATGGGCTGTAGAGTGTTGAATGATGTAGTCAATTCCGTTATAACATAATAACATACAGGTTCCTAAAGGTCTCTATACTACCTGGATGTGACCACCCAGGCCTGCAATCCCAGCACTTGGAAGGTTGAACCGGGAGAATTGCCCTTAATTCAAGGCTAGCCTGAGCTACAGACCAATCTGGGTTACAGAGTAAGACCTTGTCTGAAAAACCAATCCAAAACAACAAAATCTCTTACACTAAGGAAAAGTCATGCAGTAGAAATGACCCAGGGAGTGCAGCACACAGAAACTCCAAAATAACAGAGTAAAAGAGAGACATCTACTTTAATTCATACTGTAGTCTCACAGTTAAATGACTAGAAATATATAAATACTATAATAAATGTAGCACTTTACTTTGGATAAAAAAAATTAAAGTTTGTATGTAGAAATGGATATAAGAAAGGCGATATAGTAGGTGAGTTATTGTGAAGAAGTGAGGTAAAAAAAATTTGTCTGAAATCAAATAGGAAATTGTACCCAGAAGGATGTGGCTGTAACATGTATGATGATCTTAGTGGCTGCTAGTTGTGGCAGAGGTGCATGTGTGCATTTTATGTGACCCGACAGCTGTGTTCTCGGACAGTTCTCTGTTCAGCCAAGCTTAGCTTCCTTTATCTCTCCTCTCTTTGTGAGGCAGAATCTCTCTGTGTAGCCTAGGCTGGCATAAGATTGGGAATCCTGCCTCCACCTCTCAAGTACTGGGGTTAGAAGTACACACTACCACATCTGGCAGATCTAGTATATCACTTGGAAAAAAATGACAGAAACATGCAAAATTGGCATTGTGCTAAATAATCCATTAATACATCAGTTGCATTGGGACAAACTAGTTCTTTGAAAGTGAGTGTTGTAATGGTACCAGCTGTGTAACAGACAAGACATGTCATTGGTTGTTAGAGTTAGGGGTGAAAGAAGAGGCCATTATGGCCTCGAGTCTATGATTGAGCACCTCTTGGAACTGCTCACACCTGGTGTACACACACAGACATGAAGGCAAAACAGCCATACACATGCAAAAATGATGAGAAAGATTTAAAAATTTAAATAAGACATGAAATTATTTAACCAATTCATGTATCCAAGTGTCATTTCTTCAACATGATAGCAGTATAAAATTATGAGGTATTTTGCCTTTT